CCGGAGCCACACGAGGGGAGGGGCCCGCCGGGCAGGGCTTTGAGGTCATTCACATGATTCCCCACAGATCCCCCACAGAAATCCCAGATCATCTCCCCCACGCAGGGCATCTCTCCAGAGAGTTTAGAGGGTACGAGGAAGACGCTGTTGCCGGGGCTGTCTCTCTGATGACATATATCCACCCTAAAAGTGGTGGCTCATAAATGTAAAAAATCTGGGTGTTTGGCGCTCAGAGGATGGAGCCTACAGACCTCACGGCCCCTTTCGGTTTTCCTCAGGCCTCTGACACAGGCTAAGTCTCTCTCTTACCAGCCCAGATTTATTTTCAAGGGCTTAGCTCCACGGAACGATGGGAATGTTTCAGCACGAGTGCTCCTGACCACAAGGAAAAAAAGCCCCCAACACATTTCACAGGCATCAGCCAGGATTCTGCAAGGTCCGTTCTTCCAAGAACGAAATTGCATTTTATGAAGCCGTCCCTTTTCTGTTTCATCTGTCAGGCAGGTTTGCTGAGAATAATTTAAATTTCATGCAGCAGCAACTGCAGGACAGTGGAGTTTCCTTCCTGCCCCACGAACAGGCCTGGCCCGGGAGTCATGGTCCAGCTTCTCAGCTCCGCCTTCCCGCCCCCGCCGCAGGGGGCTTGACTGCCCTGCAGTCCAGAGTGGCAGCGGTGGGCCAGGAACAGGGCTGTCCAAGCTCTCGGTGACCTCATGCCGCCACAGTCAGGGGGAGGGGACGGTCCAGAGAGGGTCCTGCCAGCACCAACTGCCCGGGAGCCGGGTTTACCCGAATAGGACGGATACTTGTCTGACCCAATCTCTGATTTAGCTTTTCAAAATGACTTAACCAATCCCCACACCATCTTTGCGAGGAAGATCCTATGATTGTTCCCATTTTATAGACAAAGAAACTGAGGTTCAGAGACATACTCATCTCCTGAGAGGCAGAGGTCAGATTCAAACCCAGTTCTGCCATGGTTCGACAGCTTGAAGCCCTCACTAGCTGTACGATGGAGAGTCGACAAAATCTTCGGGCTAAATTTTCCTACCTAACCCAAAAAGTAAATATGCCCATTTTCTTGCACATTGGTATCTGCTGTCGAGGAGGTGGATGGAGGGAATGGGAAAAGTTACCCTAACAATGCCACAGTAACGGTTACCATGGAGAATGCGCTGTGCCAGGCGGCCTGGGGAAAGGAGACAGCCCAGGTGGCCCATTTCTCACTCACTGGGGGCCCTTGGCAAGTCTTGTTTTCTCTGAGCCTCATTCTTCTGACAGGCAAAGCAGAGAGGCCGGAGGGCACGGTCACTACGTTCCTCTGAGGCTCTGGGGACTTGCGGGCGTGTGTGTGTGTGTGTGTGTCTGTGTGCGTGTCATTTGGTCATGCCCTCCCCTACCTCAATGGCCCGGAATATGTGCTTGTCCAACCGGCCTTTCATCAAAGACCAGCTAGAAATCCTCAGGCCACAGAAAAACGAAGAAACATAAAACTCAACTCAGGCCTAAGGCAGAGGTGACAGAAAGAATTGTCATCACCTCACTAACCAGCCCCAGGGCACACAGCTAGCTGTTCCTACCCTGGGGAGCTGGGACGGTCCCCCCATGGTCTGGAAGATGCAGTCCTAGCACTGAGAGTGAGAGGGTGAGCAGGCCCACGGGACTAGGGGCAAGAGAGGGGACAGGCCGTCTCTGCATCGGTGGCGATGGCATCGGATGCCGGTGGTGGCCCACAGCCCCCAGAGAGATGTGACACCTGCTCCATGCCCAGCCTGGGGGGACGCTAAGGCCTGGCAGCACTGACACTTGTCCCTGAGAGTCACCTTGGGGGCCTTTCCCTGAGTCCTTGGGTGTGACCCTGGCCCGCTCGTGGTGCCAGACCCTTCACTGAGGAAGGCATGCCGGTATGTTCAAGCAGCCATCACCACACTCCAGGGCAGCAGGAACACAGGGCGCTGCGCCTGGCTTCCACGCAGCCCCCTCCCTCAGCCACCTTCCACCAGAGTAGGGTCTTGGCCCTGGGTACACACCGGGCTTTCCTTGGAGGAAGGGGTCCCATGGCTGAAAAAGCTTTAAAATCCCTTCACTCCACTGTCAGGCTTACTGGGCAATGCCAGCTTCAGGGTTAGTTTGGGGCCCACTAGATGTCCTCCCTCTAGCTCTTCTTGCTGCCGTGTCCCCTTGGTCATGTCATGCCTCCATGTCACAGATTGGTGTGAACGGTAACCACTCAGAAACACAAGGTGCTTTCCCCGCCTGTGTGGGGCCTACCTCCTGTTTCTTAACTGAAGACCTACTTTTTTCTCTTGGTGAGGTTAGAAATGATCCCTCTTCCTTCCAGGGGCATGTCCTTGTCCCCTAGGCTTTACCTGGGTGATAGTGACAACGGCGGCTGTGGTAACAACCCCTATACAAGACTTACCACGTACCACTCGGCTCTGTTCTGAGCACTTTATATGTATTTTAACTCACACGATCTTCACAACTCTGGCAGGCAGGTAACACTACCTGTTCCCATTTTATAGGAGCAAGGCACAGAGAAGTTAAGTAACTCGTTCAGGGTTGCTCAGCTAACAAGAGATAGGGCAGAATTCAAACCTGGGCACCCTGGCTCCCCAGTCTGTCTTTATCCACAACACTAAGCTGTCTCTGCCAATAACCTCAATGGGAGAGACATTCTCGGGTCACTCAGTCACAGTGTCCAGGCCACAGACTTGTCATATCCTGACCTATGTGTTTGCCGAGGGCAAGTGCTAGCCCTTGGCTACTCAGTAAAGATGCAGCTTGCTGACCAGGGAAACCACAGATACCCCAGTTTGGGCCTGCCTGTCAGTTGATGTGGTGCTGGCATGGGGTTAGACAAATAGGCAGGGAGACGGGCGTCTGGGGGGGGCGGGTAGCAGCTTGGCCTAATGGCAGAGAGGCACCGCCATGGCCCAAATTCATTGACAGCGTTCTGGATAGAAGCTGCCACTGGCTGCTGTCTTCCATTTCTGCTGCAAACCCCATTCTCCTGAGCATCTCGAAAAGTCCCGGATGTAGGCAGGTACCTTTGTTTGACTGGACAAGCCCTTGCAGGTCTGGAGCAGGGCTGGAGATGGTAACAGAGGGGACATGTGCCAAGGAGCCGGCTGTCCCACGGGCAGGAACATTTGGCCCCCTCCCCTATCATTGCAATGCTCCCCAGCTCCCCCAGTTGCTGTTTTCCATCAGAGGCTGGGTTCCTCTCCTCCCATGTGCTGTGGTTTGGGGCCCTGCCAGTCAGGGATGGTGAATATCAAGCTGTTTGGGAGCAAAGCAGGAGCTGTGTGGGCGGGGCAGCCCTGTGTGAGAGGCCCTCACCACTGAGTCCCCTCCAGCTCCCTTGCCTGGAGGGCCAACCCCCTGCCTCTGGTGCAGCCTGACAGCACCCATAAAAAGGCCTCCATCCAGAGAGGGCAGAGATCGTCAAGCGGGCTCCCAGGTCCAGCTTCTCTCTCCCGACCCGGAGCCCCCAGCGGTCAGCTCCAGAAGCTGCCATTGTCCAGATGGCCAACAGCTGGCCTTCTGAGTGGCCGCCAGATGTGGCTGGCGGGGCAGCCGACTGGCTCCACCGGGCAGAGGTCGCTGCATTGGGGAAGTTCTGGGGGCTGGTGCCCAGGGGACGAATGCGTTTGGCTGGTCTGGGGGCGTCGTGCCCAAATAACTCTCCATCTCCTCTCCTGCATCCAACATTCCTTCCCTCCCCATCTCAGTGGGGAGGTGTTTTCATAACAGGAAAATAAAATCAATAAGGCACTGCAGCAAGATGTCAGTGTGCTCCGAGCTGGCCTCCAATAGCTCCATTGTCTCGGGCCTCCGCTGGGCTCTGGGCCGGCAGCGCTCAGTTATTAATGGGAAGCAGGGCTGAAAGGGAGTTTTGAAAATCACAGAGACAAAGGCACAGCACACCTGGAGTGCAGCTTTCCAACGCCACGGCCACCTCACAATGGCTGCGCCGGGCCTCCCCCGCCTTTAACTTCTCCCGCAACTTTTATGAAAGCAGGGAAGAAAACACTAGACACACACACACACACACACACACACACATGCACGCACGCACGCACGCACGCACGCACACGCTGGCTCCTGGGAGGCGGCTGTGAATGGCTGGCTGAGGCAAAGGAGGCCTGCAGAGCCCCTGATCCTCCGAGGAAGCAGGATGGCCATAAACAGGCTTCCTGCCACCGGTGCGGGTCCTGGTCCCTGGAAGGTCCTGGCACCTGAGGGGCTCTGAGCAGCGTGAGGGGGACCAGCTCAGCCTGAAGCCAGGCATGAGACTTGGTGACATTTTCATTTCAGTATCTCAGTCAGTAATGCAGCCTGGTTTCTGCGGTCATTCCCAAGGCTGGAGCCACCTCCAGAAGAGAGGGAATGGCCTGGAGATGATGCCCCTGAAGCTGACTACTGGGGCCCAAGGCCTGGGCCCCAACGAAGGTCCAGCCTCGGACCAGCTCTCACAGACTTGGTGTATCTCAGTATCCCCAACCACCAGGTGGGGACAAAAGTAGCGATCCACGGGGTTATCTGAGGCTTGGAAGGCACGGTGGACAGGAGAATTCTCAGCAGAGTAGTTACCAAGTAGTAGATTTATGACTGTTTATGCCTTACTGCTAGTGACTACCTTCTTGCAAACCTAAGTCACTGGTGCCCCCGGAGCGGGGGGACTTGCATGGTCTAAAGTCACCTATTTAGGGAATCTTTATTGCCAACTTGGAGTTCGCTGTCCCTACACAAATTAAAAAGCACTTTGTCAACATGGCATAAGACAACAAATGGCCTCAGCACCTGCTTGTCTTACAAGTTAGTCACAGAGAGAGACTTTACGGCAAACAAAATCATGCGAGCTTTCACTTGAACCGTCGGCCGGCCCAGCCCCAGGGACGCCAATGCCCTGGAGAAGGTGGTGACTGGTGCACAGACCTTCAGGGGAAGCCACGACCCTCTGCCCAGCTCCTGCTCGGAGGGGACGCCGGGCTTACCTTGGTGGTGACGGCGGAGGCAGAGCTGGCCACGAGGCTGGTGATGGCCTCACCGCTGCCGGTAGTGCAGGGAGCTGGGGCGGTGGCGGGCGTGGGCAGCCGGGACGGCACCACGGGCAGCGGCAAGAGGCCGGGCCGGGCGCTGAGGCTACTGGCTGAGCCGCCACCGGCCCCCGCGGTGGCGCTGCAGATGCTGGTGGTCCCATGAGTACCGTTGGCGCTCCACTCTCGGCGGTCCCAGCCCACGCGGTAATCTCGTTCGAAGCGGCTGTGGTGCCGGGACATCTTGCTGGGCCGTGGCTGCTCCTCACAGGGGAACAGAGGCCGGACCTGCTGGCACAGAGCGGAGAGGAGGGCGGTTTAGTCACACAGCAGCCCGGCCGGGACGCCGTCAGCATCGAGGAAGCGCCTGCTCTGTGTGCAAAAAAGGGTTTTCCAACGACAGCTCATTTCCTATTCACAGCAAGCCCACAACGCATGGATCGCTAGCCCCACGTCACAGAGGGGGGAACAAAGGATTTGTCCAGGATCACGTGGCAAAAGTGTAGTAGACAAGATTTGAACCCAGTGTCAGTTTAGAGTAATGCTTTTTGATTCAGGGGCACCCGGGTGGCTCAGATGGTTGAGCGTCCGATGTCGGCTCAGGTCATGATCTCGTGGTTCGTGGGTTTGAGCCCCGTGTCAGGTTCTGCGCTGACAGCTCGGAGCCTGGAGCCTGCTTCAGATTCTGTGTCTCCCTCTCTCTCTACCCTGCTCTTGCTCACTCTCTTTCTTTCTCTCTCTCTCAAAAATAAATAAGCATTAACACAAAATTTAGAGAAATGCTTTTTGTTCTGCAGTGTCATACTCCTCCAGAGCAACGTGCATATGCTTATCTGAATTATGGTTGGGATTTTATCCCACCATCCCCACCATGAAAACAAGGTCCCGTGGACTCCTCAGGCAGGCCACGCTTCCCCCAACCCTATGACGGGGAGAGCGGCCACACCTGTAGGCTCACTTCATAGTGGACAAGGCCCTTTCCATAAACCTCATATTATCCTCCCTGGAACCCGTGAGCCGGCCGGGCATGGCTCATCCCCAGTGTATGGATCAGGGAGCTGGTTGAGAATAAGTGACTCCCTTGAGGTCAGAGGAAGGGAGAAGGTGGCCAGGATCTCTGGCCTTCGGACTGTGGCTCCATGTAGGGCTCTAGTCTAGAAAGGGGTGAAGCCCCTGGGTGTTCAGAGTTCTTTATAACCCTATGATTTAGTTGCTGGCACTAGAGACCCCAGTGCTCCCTGTGAAGCAGACATTCCCCCCCCCCCCCCGGCGACTTTCGTGGCTATCTGAAAGGCAGGCCCTCAGTGTTGTAATGGAGACCTAGACACCCGGGGATGCCTGTAGGGCCCCCTGTGGTGTGAGAACTGGGTTTTGCTCAGAATTACAGTGAGTTGCCTGGTTCCTTGACCGGCCCAGACCCGCTGTCACCCTCAGTCACCAAGGATGGAAAGATACGGGGGAGGCTGACTTGGCTGGAGAGGTGGCAGCAAGGCTGAGGCAGAGGGGAGAGGTGACGGCAGAGTCAGGGCACAGGTGGCGGCCTGGGGAGGGCGGGTGTCTGCCTTGCGCATCACATCCTCAGCTCCGGTCACTGCTCAGGTGTGGTTTGGCCTGCTCTGCAACCACTTCCTGTCTGGGGTGTGAGCTCCTGGGGGTCAGGGAGAGCTCCTGGCTCATTTTCCTATCCTGCAAATCCAGCTGGGTCATGGTGGGGGGCTCTGGAGTGACTGGCTAGTGGATGGACTGGCTGCCCTATTTTAGAAATTTGTACCTGACTCTACTGTGGTCTTTGCACAGCAGGTCTAGTTGCCAGCTTCTAGTGCCACAGAGCCAGAGCCCCAGCCCAACCCTTGTGACCTGCTACCTTTGTTCTGCTTGGGTGGTTGGGGGCCCCTGGCAGCCACTGTGCCCTCCCTGGGCACCGTGCCCTCTGCCAGACACAAGGGGCACACCGAAGCAGAGCTGACCGTGACCTCTTAAAATGGACATGGGGCTCATTGTTTATTTTATCGTTATGCTTCATGGCTTACCTGCTGCCACCACATTACTGTTTCACCTATCCAATATTACATAATAAAAAATGATTCATAAAAATGAATCCCCCTTTGACCACCCCCTCACAGACTACTTTTAAGAGAGTTGTTTAAATAGCTCTCATCACTTTTCTCCCTCCTGCCCACACTGTGACCTGTTCTGATGTGGCTTTTGCTCTGGCCAGTCCTTGGGAGTTGTTCTCACCGAGGTCATGAGTGACCTGTGTGTTCAATCCCACGGGACACTCACACCTTGTCTCTCTCGACCCCTCTCACTTTTGGCACGGCTGATCTCTCTCTCCCTCCTTCTAGAAACCTCTTCTCTGTGGCTTCCAAGGCATCATCATGCTCTCTCCTTGTTTTCCTCTTACGTCTCTGCTATTCCTTAGTAGTCTGCTTGGCAAGCTCCTGTTTCTCGGCTCATTCTTGGGGGTCCCCATTTCCCCCACATCTTGTCCCACCCTACACACTCTCCCTGGACAATCTCGTCAACTGTCATCTCTTTCCTGATGACCCTCAAGGCTACATTTCCAGCTCCCTGTCCATCCTAAGTGCCACAACTACTATTCTAGAGTCTGAAGTATACCAGTACATGGTTGCCCCACGGGTACCTCAACACCGTAGGTCCCAGAATTAACTCATTGCTCTTCTGCCCACTCATTCTCAGGGATTCCCTCTCCCAGGGAAAGCCACCCCCATTTCCCCATGTCCATCCACATGTTCAACAGTGAGGTCTTTGATTCTATGACCCCCGCTGCTTCTCAAATCTGCCCCCTCTCCCTCTGCACATCCACCACCCGACTCACAAAGATTATCTCCACCAGTGTCCCTGTTCTGGTCTTGCCCTTCTTACCCATTCTCCACCCAACTGCCCATGTGGTTTTTTTAAGGCACGAATCTGATCACCATACTTTACTCTGCTGCTTTAAATCTTATCCTTCAGAATAACGTCCAGACCTCTCAGCATGGCCCAGGAGACACCTGAGGATTCCAGCGTCACCATTCACCCTTCCCACCCCAGAGGCAATGCCCCGCCATTCCAAACACCTTTCTGGTTTCTGAAGGCATCAGCTCTCTCTCTGCTTGGGGTCCAAGTCAATGTTGCTCCTTTGCCAGGGATGGATTCCCACTCTTCCCATGGCCAAGCCCCATATGTCTGTTGGGACTCAGTTCAGGCTCTGATTCTTCTAGGAGGCTGCCTTGACCCACCTCCTCCAGATCAGGCAACAAGAAGTCCTCTTCTAGCCCCACCCCGGGTACCTGGTGCCCACCCCATTCCCAGCATCAACGGCTGTGGTATATTTGCTACCTTGAGAACAGTCCCAGGTTTATTGTCTTTGTAATCCTTGCACCTAACACAATGTCTGGTATAGAAGGGTATTCAGTACACATTTGCTAAATGAACAAACAAATGCTTATTTTTTCTTAATCGCTTAATATTTCCAGAAGAGATGAATGCATTTGTGTGAAGGTGAGAAGCTCAGACACAAAAAACTTGAGTCTTCTGACCGGAAATTCCATGCAGGTATCAGGGTAAGGAAATGTCCTATCTCCCGGGTAAGTCAGACCTGAAGCCCCTGAGGATGGCTCAGAAGGAGAACAGAACCTCTGCATGTCCAGGGTTAGCCAGGCCCCACAGCTTAGACTCTTGTTTCCTAACATTCACCTGCAAGGCTCTTCCTAATTATCAGCACCTCAGGGCCACGATTTCCCTAGGTTGGATCGTAAGTGTGGCAGAGATGCTGCTGCAAAGCTCACCACACCGTGTCCTCTCTCCGACCACCCAGGAAGACCTCCCCATGCCTCCCTTGCAGTTAAGTTGGGAATCCCACGTCTGAATTCAGGCAGATAGAATGAGAGGGGAGGTGATGGAGAACATTTCCAGACCCTGTCCTCTAAGAGCATCTTATATTAACCTCAGTTCCCTTCACCTGCTCTGGCAACCTCGGAGATGCAGCTATTGGTGGAAGCTATTGCCCCACTAGCCTCGGACTTGGAAAGATTGGGACACACATCTTCACTGTGTTAAGGCGCTGAGATGGCGAGGTTATTTTGTTACCGAAGCCTAGCCTTGCCTGACGGATCCACTAAGACAGCCCTTACATTCCCACAAAACAATACAACCTCACCTAATGTCAAGGAAATCATCTCCTTCCAGCTGGTGAGGATGGAGAGGGGGAAGGGCCCACAGGTGGGCAGAGCATGCTTGGGAGCGGGTCAGTGGAGCCTCCTTAAGCCCAAGGACACCTCCGAGTTCAGTAGATCCAGCCAGCTCGCTGCCTCGGGGACTACCTGCTGTAGGACACTGTGGCTCCATTGTACTCGTGGTCCCAGCACCCGCCCCTCCCCCCACCTCCTCCCGCTGCCCATCTTTTCCAGGCTCCGAATGGAGACTCAGGCAGCTGGAGGCCACGCAGTCTGGTTTCAGCCTCATTAAGTGTATTCAAAACAAAGGTCAAGTCTTTGCATGCCAGGTTTGGGTTAGACTTCATTCCTCAATTTAATTTCCCCTTGCAAACGGAATGAAAGAAATGTGTTGCACAGTTTACCCTGGGTGAGACGGCAGAGTGCCAGCTCCAGAGGTGGCAACTTTAGTCATTCCTGCTGGGCACAGAGCCAGCGTGTCAAAAAGGTTCGGTGTGCCCACACGTGCACCCTGGGTGGTGGTGGGGGAGGCAGGGGGAAGGGCTCGCTGGGGCGGGAGGGAGCCCCACGCAGACAGGGCGTCTCAGACGAGACCGGTCAAGCAATTACAGACAAAACACACACAAGTGCTTCCCTGTCAAGGTGAGCACCTTTTCCTGGCAGGCTGCTGGCGAGCTGGTAGAGGCTGGCACGGGGCCCTTTACTGAGGGATGGAGGGGAGTCTGAGCAGCGGCCATGCCTCTGAGTGTCAGGTGCACTTCTAGCTCTGATCCGGAAACTTTGCCTGCTGCCTGTCCCCGGACCCCTTCCTGTGCTCCCGACTCCCAGATCTGAAATGTGCCCAGCCTCTACGCTGAACCGCAACTGCCCTTTTCTCAGTGTTGTGCAGCCTCTGAAAAGGAGGAGTCATCTGCTTGGAGGAAACTGTCTAAGAATTGGATCCAAAGCTTTAGGTGTTGTTTATTTTGTTTTTACATTTTCTGTGACGTGCTTAGGTTGCCTCTATGATGATAGGAAAGGTAATGTGAAATGAAAGCCTTTTTCGTCAGTACTTTGGAGTCCCATAAGAAATGGTCCGGGGCTATGGAACCTAGCGTAGGCATCCTTCCC